ACTACTGGCAAAGCCTGTCGACCCCTGCTGCCCTGTCTTAATAAGACCGATAGGGAAAGCAGATTGCAACTCAGTGCGGTGTAAATGCCTTTTGTGATCAGCATGTCTCCAGGGAGTCTTACAGCAGGTGTGTGTGCAGGGGGGGGCGCAGGACCAAGGAAATCTCCCTGGTGGGTGCTGCACTTCGATGTCGGCCAATGTGCGCCCCCCTCCCATAAGTGAAAGTCGCTGGGATCCTTTGGGGTTGAAGGTGCAGCTCATCAATAGCTCAGTTCAGGGGTTGATGAATTACTTCCAATGCCCCCCCCAAGACATAGAGGTGCAGGAAATGAGGTGGTGAGATGACCTGCTGCCTGACCTGTGCCCCCACCGACGTGGTTGAGGCAGTTCAGACGAATTTGGTGGGGGGGGGGTAGCGCGCCCTTTTTGGTTCCCCAAAAATATCCCGTTCCAGCTTGCGAATCCCTGCGGAGGGAGGGAGAGAAGATGGACAGGGACCAGTCTCGCCTCAGATGAAAGGGTTTCGGGTTGATCTTCCTTTAGGGTAGACGGTTCCCTGTGAAAGGACAGAGAGAGATACAGGACGGCACTGGATACCGCAGTCGACCACAGACAGGACAGGCTCAACAAAAGCCTGCTGACTTACAAAGCTGAGAGCCACACATTACTAGGCCAGTGACCTCCGTGACCTGTGTTCGAGAGCCACATGGCCTCCTGGCCTCCTCCCCTAATTAGATGCTAAAGAATTATTCACTGAATTGCCACCGGCTTTTCCCTCCTAGACTGTTCTACATGTGGGCTGTAATGTAGCTGCTTTGTATTAAAATGAGGTCAATGAGCCCTCCCCATGTTACAGATCACTGGGAATCATCCATCCTGGTTACGCACCCAGGCCCCAGGCTCTGGACCACGAATGAGATTATCGATCTCGTATGAAAGGGTTATCCGTCTTCAGCTCTCTTCACCCCCTTTCCCTGTGCATTTTATCCATAATTCAGTTAATTATTTATGACAAATTGGATTATGTGCAATGTTATTATGAATACAGTAGAACTTTGACTGTGACTCACACGTTCAGAAAATGATCATTTATAACTCATTCAGCTATAAGATCATTTTTGTTCCCACTTCATCTGGGTTATGAATAAATCTTCTCTTTC